GAAAGAACACCCTTTCAGCCTTTTTTTCATCAGCTGAAAAAAATTGTAACTTTTGTGTGTCTCAGCTCCGGCAGCGGGGGGCGGCGAGAGTTTGTGGAAGAAGATGGTGTTGGGATCGAAGCCGCCAAGATGCGTAGGAAAGTGCTTGAATTGCCGGCCGTGTACGGCGTCGCTGGTGGTGCCGGAGCACCGTGAAAGGAAGGGGTTTGAAGCTGATTTGAATCGTAGAGAAGAGGATGATAGCTATTATCTGTTGCATTGGAAATGTAAATGTGGGAATAAGCTTTATCAGCCATAAGAATATTGGTTTTCTGGGTTTTGCCATTAATGGAGTTGGGTGTTGTTTATGGGATGGTGGTTTTTATGTACAGAAATGAACATGTTTTAGCTTCTTTTGTACTCTGTTTTTCTTCCTCTGTTCTTTTGGATCCATTTTTGTCTGCCTTGCTGCCATTTTCCAAGTTTTTGGAATTGGAATCACAATTTGTGTGGATGAGTTTATTTTATTTATTTTTATATTGAATACATCGACTTTTCATAAAATATTCCAATGATTTTTTAAAAACTTTATGATTAAGTCAAATGTCAGTTAACACATGAATATGTATGAACATGTACAATTGCTGTTATTCGCCTAGAATGGCCTCGATTCTCTTATTGAGAGTCTCTTTAAAGGTTTCATTTGGGAGTCGGCCATTGATCAATCTTTTTGAATAGAAACTTTATATGAATAACCCTCCAACTGACATAGTACCGATCTATAACAGTCCAGCAAGGAATATTAGTCGAACAAATTTCAATGAGTTACATTAAAAAGAATGCATTAAAAAATATGGTAATAATGTTTTATAATTTGCCTCCCAATTAAGTTTTGCAACACATTCGGATGATGAATCATCTGGGTCCCGACAATCGAACATCGGACAATCTCACTTCACTAAAACACCCGTTTAATCCCAACGACATTACCGTCCCTCCTCCACTACTCCAAGAAAAACTCCACCCTATCTCCGCCGCACTCGGCGGCCTCGGCACCGGACAAACCCCTTCCAGCATCTGCACCACCTTCCTCATTGGCGGCCGGAAACTCGCCTCCTCCTGAACGCACCATACCGCCACCTCCACCGCCGCCTCGACTCGCCAGTCCTCCTCCGTCACCGTCGCCGCCACTCTCGGGTCCAACACCCACCTACCCTTCTTCTCCGCCACCATCCTCGCCGCGTACGACGGTAGATGCGCACTCTCCGGCGGTTGATCGGCGTCATAGCACTTCCTGTTGCCGATGATCTCGAGAAGAACCATACCATAGCTGTAGACATCACTCTTATCGGATATGGCGAGGTTCGTGATCCACTCCGGCGCCATGTAGCCTCTAGTTCCTCGAAGCTGAGTGAAGATATTGCTCTGTTCTCTGTTAACAAGTTTCGCCATGCCGAAATCGGAGAGCTTTGGCGTGAAATTGTCGTCGAGGAGGACGTTTTCGGGCTTTATATCGCAATGGATTATCTTTGATTCGCATTCTTGGTGAAGGTACGCCAAAGCCCTCGCCGTACCTGTTTGATCAACCAAATCAAAGCCTCAAAATTTGAACTTCAAAACATTCAAATAATTTAGAGTTCGAGATGTTACCCAATGCAATGTTGAATCTTGTTTCCCAATCCAAAAACCCATCTTCTTTCCCATTAAAAATCCACTTATCCAACGATCCATTGCTCATATACTCATAAACCAGAAGCCTATGAAGATTTTCAGAACAGAATCCTTTGAGCTTCACCAGATTCACATGGTGGATCCCGCCGATCAAACTCACCTCTGCTCTGAATTCTCTCCCTCCTTGCCCAATTTTCTCCAGTTTCTTCACTGCCAATCTCGTCCCATCTCCGAGCTCCCCCAAATAAACCGACCCGAATCCCCCCTTCCCGATCTTCGTCGAGAAATTCCTTGTCGCTCGCCGGAGCTGTCTGTAGCTGAACCGCATTGGCCCGCTGGAAACCTCCTCAAGAAATTTGTCTTCCTCTGTTGCATCTTCAATGGAGCTTAACAATTCCTTCACTTTCCGCCGGTAGAACAAAAAACAGAGCAACCCCATGAAGGACAGAGCCATTGCAGCTATAAGAATACTCATGAGAACGATGTGCTTTCTTCTGTTTGGAGTTGGCGTAGGCGTTGTTTCGTTATCGTTGCTGTTGATGGGGAGCTCTATTTTCATATACGAAATGTACCCATTGGAGCCCTCGTCGGATCGTTGTAAACTTCCGATCTCGTCGAAGAAGAAGCAATCCCCAGAATTTGGTTCGAAGAACATCACATTGCAAGAGCAATTACTGGCGCAGGCTGCTTTGCAATTGTTCAAATCGGAGTTCAACGCAGGAATAGCGAAACGGAGAGCAAAATAATCAAGGTTTTTCCCCAAATACAGTAGCTCGGTGGCATTGGATCTGCCATTGCAAGAGATTGAAGGGAATTTACAGTTGAACTTGTCGTCGAAAATCGTCGAAGGACACTGGCATCGATTGTCGAAGTAACATATGAAAAGAGGATCACAAGGCTCTGGAACGCCGCAACTTTCCGCCGGAATTCGAATGGGCTCCGGCGGAGCTGATTTTCCGCTCTCCAAATTGTGAAAAGCAATCGATCCATCGGTGTTTAAAACAGAAACCCATCTGTCTTTCCAATTCGATTGCCAGAAAAATTTGAATCCCCATAACAACTCCCCATTCTTGCCGAAGAAATTCCAAGAATTTGATTCCATAATCGCAAACAGAACATACCCATCTCCGCCGTTTCCGCTGCCAGAACCGGCGGCGGCTCGCTTTATTTTCCGGCTATCTTTCGACAGAGCCCAATAGATTTGGGGATTCTGATAACCCGCAGACAGAACCAAATCTCCTTGTTTAAATTCCAAAAAACTCGAGAGATTATTGTCATTTGAGTAACTTACAAGCTTCATTCCTTCCCAGAAAACCTGGCCGGGCAAAAGAGTATTGGTCGGAAAATGGAAGCTCTGCCAAACGAAGCTTCCATTTTTGCTCTTCAAAACCAAATTTCCAGAATCCAAAAGCTGCATTGAAACAACGCCGTGTCGGGCCGTCTCAGTCGACCAAATTGGAGCAGAATTTGGTCCAAATTGATCCAAATAAGCATCCCCTGTTTCATCGAACACGAACAGAGCAGAGTCGTTGACCGGAAAATCTCTGTTCGCCGTCCAGATCACTCTGGAACTGAGAATGTGAGTAATTCCGAGTGAGAAAGTGTCGTCGTTGGCACCGGCGTAGAAGCCGAGAGAAAAAATGGAGCCTTTGGAGAGGAGAAAAACTCCATTTGTGTCGTTGAATTCTGATGCAGAAGCTTTGAAGCCTGGATTGAGCTTGTCAATCTCTTGGGATTTGACAATGTCGATGTGGGATTGAATCAGAAAAACGAAGAAGAAGAAGAAACTTGCGATTTTGAATAAACCCATCAAGAATTAGCTTCAAACTCCATTGATTCAATTGGTGGAAGTTGAAGATGAACAGAAGAAAAAAATAGAATTATGTTCCAATTTTAATTCTTTTTAATTTATATATATTGCGATTAAGATTATATTTTGTGTAAAACAACTAAAATTGGGGACTAAATATAAAAGGTAAGTGTAGTTTTAAAAAATTATTAAAAATATCAAAGTTTGCGAACAAATAAATAAAATATGAAATTTTGTTTATGATTACTTTGACTTTTGATTTGACAAAAATAGTTTGACTTTCAATATTTAAACAAAACATTTATTTCAATATTCAAACTTGTATAAAACAGTAGGAGATAAGTCAACGGATTTTAGTTAGTAATTGTATAATTACTTTTTTAAAATTAGCGAGTAATTAAGGCGCACTTAAATAAACTTTAATGTTCCATTAATTGTTGTATTAGTTAACAATTAATATCGCTAATGACATGCCACGATGTGCATAACATGCTACTTTTATAATGTTATATCACGATGGAATAATAATTAATAAAATAGTGGGCGTGGACTGCACAATCTCTTATAAATTATTTATATAAACCACACCACTTTAAAATAAATAAAAGGGAATTTAAAATAATTAAAAAAGTGAAGTTACCAATTTGACCTTAGTTCTTATACTTTAAAAGTTTTTAACTATATCTTATAATATTAAATTTATAATTTTATGTTCTATCATAGATCTCGAATTTAGTAACGCTATATATGTGGCAATCACTTCTCTAAGTTTTATTTTTCTCTATATTTCATGTAACTATCTATGCCCGGGATCCATTGCATCTCCTGTGACACATCTATATTGTTTACTTCTCGTTTCTAAGAGATGAGACTTTCTATACAGACCAAGATAAGACATCCACAATGAAAATCCATTCGGGAAGAGATGAATATGATTTAAAAAAAATGAAAAACTAAACAAAAAATTGTTATAAAAAAAAAATTAGTCCATATATATATATATACACTTTTGGAGCAAGAATGGAACCTGAAACCTAAGCCAAGAACAGGTTTAGAACACAGCACAACAGGGTCAGATTCGGACGTCAAACTCACATTTCAATTCCCTTAAAAGTAACGTTATCCAAATGCGTTCATGTCCGGATTGACAGGTGGCTGGAAGACCGTCACCACGACCTTCCCACGCTCCTCCTCCTTTCCAAGCCCTGATAACAAAGTGCGGGAAAACAAAAATTCCTTTCCATTTTAAAAATAAAAAGATTTTAAAAAGCAAAAAAATGGAATTTTGGAATTTTGGAATCTTTGGATTTTCTTTCTTATCCAAAGCTGGAGAGAGAGAGAGAAACAAAAAAGATTGGATTTTTAAGTCAGAATCCCTACACAAGAACAGTTCCTAATCCCTGAACTAGCCTCTCTGATCTTGACACGTGGGTGATGATTAAAGAATTTGAAGCTCCCCCTTCTTTTGATTGGACAAAGTGTCAGATGGGTTTTGGATTTTGAACTTTGCCTTTGCGGTGAAGGTAAGTTTAGCACAGCCCTTGGGAGATTTTAGGACTAACCACCAAAAAGGCACACCTCAGAGACTCTCTCTCAACGGTTTATGTGTTCTTTTTTGGCCACAAGACCAAAAACTGGAGAGAAGAGAGAGAAGTTAGACAGATTTCTAGAGACAGAAAGTGAGAAAAAATGGAGAACAAAGAGGAAGCCATGCTGATAGTGGAAGATGAAGCTCAAACTAAGAGTAGAGAAGGAGTAGCAGCCATGGATGAAGTCATTTCTGTGGAGCTTCCTGCCCCACCTACTTGGAAGAAACTGGTCTCTTTCTCTCTCTAAAACTTTGAAAATTTCTCTAAATTTAGTCCCGTTTTTGCCAGAAAGGAGCTTTTATCCTCTTCATATTGCAGTTTTTGTGTCTGTTCTTTTCAATTTCATCTCAAATGTTCTGTTTTTGTGTTAAAGTTTGTGTTTTTTTTGGGGGGGTTTAGAACTCTGTTTTTAGCTCTAGGGCTTGTTTGCATGGTTAGGGTTCTGTTACATCCTTAATTCCTTGTCTTTTGAAAGCTGTCTTGTTGAACAGTCCATTGATTCTTTTCTTGTGGGTAGAATTGTTGAAAATTTAGGCGTTTCTTTGGTGCTTCTTTCCCCTGAGTTCTTCATTTTCTATTTTCAAAGATTGGATATGAAATGTAAGCTTATGGGGAATCTTTTGGATTTTGAAGTGAAAAACGAGCTTCTATGAAGTTCTAGATGATGAATATCTATGAAAGAGCTTCTGTTTTATTGAAAATAAGGAACTGTATGTACCATTTGATCTGCTGGAGTGTTTTACTTAGGAGTGTTAACCTGAGATCCCACGACAGTTGGGGAGGAGAACGAAACATTCTTTATAAGGGTGTAGAAATCTCTCACTAGTATACGTGTTTTTATAAGGGTGTGGGAATCTCTCACTAGCATACGTGTTTTAAAAATCTCGAGAGAAAGCCCGGAAGAGAAAGTCCAAAGAGGACAATATCGGCGGCGGTTACAGTTAAGTTTTCTCGGCTTCTTGAATGATAGCACGTGGTGTCATGTGTTTGATATTCTTGATCTTGTGTGCTCTTGAGATACTTGGAAAGCTTCATCTTGGGAAGCACTTTTGAAACTGTCGGTGCCTAAAGCTGTCTGCTCTTTAGGGCTGCAATAGAAAACTGAATCCAATGCTTTTGATCTGAGGCCTACATGTTTTTAACCTAAGTTCAGGCCGTTTTTGAAGTGTTATATATGAATCATGCTGAGGAGTTTTGTGGCTTTTATTGTATTAGCTGTGTTGACCAAATGATTGTATGAACTATGAAGCATGTCAGTTCTTGATGTTTTATCAAAAGTCCTATTGTAACATGGTTTGCTGTTGGAGATTGCCTCGATTCTTCAAAACAGTGAAATTTACCACGGGTTTTTTCCCCACTGTGTTGAATATTGATTGTAATAGTCCAAGCTCACCACTAGTAGATATTGTCCATTTTGGCCTGTTACGTATCGCCATTAGTCTCACGGTTTTGAAATGCGTCTATTAGGGAGAGGTTCCACACTCTTATAAGAAATGCTTTTACTCCCCTTTCCAACCAACGTGGGATCTCATAATGATAGTTGTTCAACTCGCCCCCATCCATCCCTGCCATATTTTCCATGTTTGTTCTTTCTGGATTTTTCAAAACATGTTCGGGTGGCTTGATATAACAGCCGAAACGTACCGCTAGTAGATATTGTTCTCTTTGGACTTTTCCTTCCAGGCTTAAGGTTTTAAAACGTGTCCATTAGGTAGAGGTTTCCACACTCTCATAAGAAATGCTTTGTTCTTCTCTCCAACCGATATGGGATCTCACACTTGAGAGTAATGCATGTTGTATTCTAAAATCTGCCAAACTCTCGACCTTTAGCGTATATGGATCTTCTTCTTTGGAAGATTTTCAGTTATGACTAACAAATTGTTTTTCTTTTTTCAGTTCATACCCAAGAAGGCAGGTACACCAAGAAAGAGTGAGATTGTATTCATTGCTCCAACTGGCGAAGAAATTGGTAACAGGAAACTGCTGGAGCAGTACCTAAAATTGCATTCTGGTAGTCCTGCAATATCGGAGTTTGATTGGAGCACGGGCGAGGCGCCTAGAAGATCAGTAAGGATTAGTGAGAAGGTTAAGGAAACTCCGCCTAAAGAGGAGCCTCCGAAGAAACGGAGCCGAAAATCCTCCGGTTCGAAGAAAGACATGAAGGAGGAAGCTGATGCAGTTCCTGAAGTTCCTGAAGAAGTTGAAATGAAAGATGCAGAGGGGAATGACAAGGCGGGTGGCTATGTTGGTGAAGCTGAAAATGGTCAAACAGAACACCAGGAGATGGCTCCTGAGGCGAAAGAAGGTGAAAAACAAGTTCTCGAGGGAAGTTCCGAGGTCGATGTTAACTCTGAATTTTTCGGTAAAGACGAAACGGATAAGAATGGTGGCAAAACCGACGGTCGAGGTTACATTCAAGAAGCTGAAAAGCAAGGAAATGATGTAGCAGAAACAGTCTCACCTAATGAGCATACTGTTGCTACTGAGGTTAACCAATCTGAAAAAGAGACAGACCAAGAAAACAACATTCCCGACAAGGATGACAACGATCCTGGCAATGTCATCGTTCTACAAGCGAAAGGAGTCGTTGAGGAAGAGAAACAAAATGATCTGAATGAAGCAGCAGCACCAGAAGACAATGAGGGTAAGTGTAATCACGACGTTTCAACAAATGGCGCAGCTCATGCCGAGGACCGAAGCATCGAAGACGATAACTTGGCGAAAGAAAACGGGAAGCTTTAGCTAGGACTGACCGAGGAATAGATGCAGCAGTGCATACCACAACCGCCTGCAGACTGCTGTATTATGCCTACTTCCCATCACCTTTTGGCGGTCTTGACACCAGATCTTTGTAGCAACTGCTCACTCTCTTCCACGATGACAGTAACTTTAGTATGTCTTAGCTTTAGTTTTACGAATGTATTTACCGACAAGAGAACTCTTAGTTGTCAGAATTAGAGTTTAGAATCTGCAGCTTTTGTTGTTTTTGGTTACTGAACTTCTTTTGACCGTAGAATGTTACTGTTAATCAACCTTCTAATTTAACTTCGGGTGAAACATGTTCTTCTGTTTCATATTGCTACTGTTTTTGCTCTTTTCTTTCTCAATGATCCAATAATAACTTTCATTCCGTAACAGACAAACTCCACCACTACTAGTAGATATTGTCTGTTTTTGCCTGTTACATATCGTCATCAGCCTCATGATTTTAAAATGCGTCTACTAAGAAAAAGTGATATGAACCAAGAGACATCAATCGTACAATATGTTTCAATGAAGATGTGAAGAAAATATTGTTGAAATTATCAAAAGATATTTCAATTCATGCCACATTGAAGACGAATTAAGTTTCATGTTTTGAATTTTGAGTGGAGTACAATTTAGAGTTGTTGTATTTCATTAATGTATTTTAAGACTTTTAATTTACTCTAGATTACAATTACATGATGTTTATTTTGAGGCTATATAAAGCCATGTGTGTTGTATTTGTAAGACACTTGGAAAATATAGTAAAAAAAACATTTGTGCTTTTCTTTAGCCAATGACGAAGTTTATTGGCAATTCTATGTAGTTTAGGTTGCATGTAAAATCATTCAAGCTCGACATGATCAATCTTGCTTGTGGAGTGATTCGAATCTCAAACAATGTTCTTGCCTTAAGATATTCGATCAACAAAGTAATCTGAATCCTACTCCCCTTATAGTGGTTCCTTATCTTATCAAAAAATTTCTACATTCTTAAAAGGAATGTTTTGTTCTACTCTCCATTACCCCAAGAAGTAGAACATCACGCTGAAACGAAGCAAGATGGATATTCCAAACCCCATCCATGAAACATGAATGACAGAGAAAATGGAGGTTTTTCCAAGAAAAGTAAGAGATGAGAAGGGAAGAATCTATTCTATGCCTCCTTTAAACAACTCCATAGGAATAACGAATCTTCTTCCATCTCATCAAAATTTGAATCATGTTTAGGCAAAGGCCAAGGAATCTCTGAGAAGGAAAGGATTGCTTCATTCAAATGATGTTGTGCTCCTATATTTTGGCCAACCAAGTTAGTTTTTCAATACCCATTAGCTAAAAAGGAACTCTTTTTCTTTCTCCTTTTGCCTCCCCACAAACAAAATGGCTACTCATTTCCTCCCTCCTCCTGCAGTTTTAAGGAAGATGTTGTGGCATTTATGAACCCTCTTGTGCAATTCTTCTCCCTCATTGCCTCTCCTTTTTTCATTAATGCATACCCATTCCTTGCTTACATTAACAACCCTCAACATCAACTATGCCCTCTTCAACAACAACAACAACAACATTTCAGCAATGCAACAATTCCATTCCACTCTCTAATACTGTTTGTGGTGTTCGTTTTAGTTTTATGTTTCATGTGAGGGAATCATTTTGAATTTTTTTTTTTTTTTTTTTATCAAATTTCAGAACAAAAAAGAAGTTTATACAAACAAACAACCAACCCCTTAAAGCAAAAAGAACAAAAAAAAAAAAAAAAAAAAAA